ATTTTTTTTTGTTTTGAGAAACTAACAAAAAGAACGCATTTTCAAGAATTTCAAAACAAAAACTCAAAATACAAAACTCAAAACTCAAAACACAAAACTGAAACACAAAGAGAATACCCCCTTAGTTTTTGGAAAAATAAATTATTGTAAAAAAAGAAAAAATTTCGATTTACGTGTAATATTATTTTATTGAAAATTATGTTGTTGAAAATAAGAAAAAAAAATTTAATTTTATGAGAAATAACGAGGGCCAAACGAAGACATAATGGGGCCTTCGTATCAGTATTCATTTTTTTTTTTATCGGTAAATGTAAATATATAGATCAAAAATGTACCATGTACAAATATCAGTATTCATTTCCTTAGATGGAGGGAATCTGCTTTGTATAAATTATATTTTATTCGAAGTGATTCTCTTCACATGAGAGGATGGACACCGATATGAGAATTCTGATGTAGCATCTTTTGACACTGGATCAAATTTTTGTATAAAAGAAAAAAGAATAATACTATACTAATTAATGAGTCTAGATGGTCACGCTTAGCCCCTATTTGGTATAAATAGATCAAATTCAGCAACTAATTTTAACCACTTTATGAGACCCACAAGTTTTAATTCACACATTTCATCAACTTTTATCAAAATTTAATTTTAATCTCCACCAAACAGAAGCATAATATGTTCAATTAAATAAATTATTTGACATTCATTTAAGGGAACTTGTTATTTAATACTATGTAGTTGCCATCAAAATTGAACTTTACACCAATGATGTTGAATAGTGTTACTCATAAAAATACGAGAATCTCGTCAACTTTCGTTTTAAGGTTCGAAATATCACATGCACATTAAATTAAACTTATGGACTTATTCAAGCCATGTTTGGTATGAATTAAAATCTAAATTTTAATTTAAGTTAAATCGATAATTAATTTTAACAATATATTTTATGATATCCACAAATTTTCAAACAAACATTTCATCATTTTTTTTTATCAAAAATTCAAAATCTTCTAAAAATATAATTTTAAACATGGGCTTATTTCACTTATCTCAGTCTTGCAAAAGAGTTGCACCATCTAACCTCTATACGATAGGACCCAAAAAAAAAAAAATGATTAAACTTTGAATCAAAG